TAATCTGCAAATGTTGTCGAAAGAAAATAGTCTCGCGTTTGGAGAGAGTGAACAAAACATTTATTTGATCTGCTGCGCAAGAAAATCGGTTAATGGTATTCTGCAGGCGCTGCGTTAGAGTGCCTCAAGTGTGCTGCGGAGGCGAACGAGTGCATCAAGTCACGCCACGCGTGAGACATGAGTGCCATCTGGCAGTTTTCTTTGAAAACGAAGCACGGGGCTCCGAGACGGCTGTGCGCGCCCGTTTCAGAGGAGATAAAGTGTAGAACGTAAGGGGACGGGTAGGTGCCACCACCGTGTCGTCTTAGCAAAGCGTTGGAAACACTCGCTTCTTCGTGCAAGCATTGAATGGTCAGCGCAGCGTGAATAGCGCTACGGTCCTTAAAATTACTTATGTATGTTTTTTTCTTGTAAAAGACGCAAAGCAGAATATATACGTGTTTAATGGTGCCCCAGACATAGCGAAAATTGCTTTTTAATTGACAATTGCACAAGTATGATCGTTGAACCTTGAGCAACACTGGTGGGCGCTGTGGATGGGGTCGGCCGTTTCAAGTACCCGGTGCCGTTAGGAGTGGACAAACAGACAAATGTACAGACAGAGCAACTGACAGACAGACCAAAATTTTTGCGTCGAAGGTCCCCAAGAAAGACTATCATCTTTAATGTTATATTTACAAGCACCGATTTTGTCATGTTCAGTCGTATACTCGAGGAGTGCCTCACTTCTCTAACGCCGATATTTCGACTGTCTAGCAGCCAATGGCCTAGCATCATATTTTTGGAGCAATGCCAAAAAATTTAAAAAAAAAGCAAATCAGTCGGGACGGCGTGACATAGAGACAAAAACAACTTCCAGTATTTTTTTCTCAACTGCTCATCCAAATTTCTCAACTTTGTTATTGCCACCAGCCAGTGATGTTCCCGCAATAATTACTGATAATCTTTCAGTAAAACTTCATATATAAGGACTCACCCATTTCCCGTACGCTGTAATAGTGGCATGTTGAATCGCAGCATGGTGTGTACGTGGTCGAGAAGTGGCGACGCAGAGCGACGCCCCGCTAAGAACACGTGTTTTCTTTTTTCTTTGTAATCTATTTTGTGATAAGCATCTACAATACCCAGCGTGTTCTCGGTGACGTTTTCCGATAGCTTTGCTCGAAACTTGGTGCAGACCACTTCATAGTGAAGACGAACCTTTAGCGTCGAACTGAAGCGGCACGGCGCGGACTGCTCAGACCTTAATGTTTTTCCCCTTGCCACTCAGCATTAAAAACAAAAAAAAAGTTATCTTGCTGACGGTGCAGACATGACTGCCACTTGCGACGCCTGTTCACATGTGGGATGGGCAAGTGACCGCCAGAAACGTCCCACATAACGACCCACCACCGTATAATTGTAACGAAAGGGAAAGCTTAGCATGTACTTACATATGTGTTGTTTACACGCCAATGTCAGTTGTCTCTTGTCCCTATAGGGGGCTGGTAACCTACGCCGTACCACGTCGTGGTGTTTCCTATTTTGCCCATGTAACCACTGCTGCAGAACCGGAATCGACTGCGGCGTGCCGCTCTACCATTGGCGTCATACGTGACGTTTATATCACCTGGCTATCTCACGTGTGACCATGGCCGTACGTCCCGTGGTTAAATAATAATAGGGAGTTTCAGAGTGCCCTTTGCAAGCGCTGCGGGCGTAGTGGGCACCATATGAGTTTTAGAATAGCGTTTGCCTTGCTCCTAACCGCAACGCACGATCTCAGCGACACCGTAGCCTCGAAACCAGCGTTTGCGGGCCACATGCGAGCCGCGATCGCCACACGCAATATCGAATTTTCTGCGCACGGGCCGTGAACTCGAACGCAGGCTCGCGTTATGACGCATGCGCAGTGGCAGCGACCGCACCGTAAGGGCTTCCGGTGCGCTATTCTAAAACTCCCTAATATATGGCGTTTTTACGCCATAAGAACCACGATACCATTGTGAGAGACGCCGTAGTGGAGGGCACCGGAAATTTGAACCATGCATCTGGTATCCTTTAACTTGCACCGACATCACACAGTACACGGGCCTTCACCGTCTCGCCTACCACGAAAGGAGACTTCCGAAGCCGGGATCGTAACCTAGACGTCCAGGTCAACAGTCGGACTCCTTGACCACTGAACCGCCGTAGTGGAAGCAAGTCCCGCCATTGCGCCCTTTATAGTAAGGAAACACCCCTTCGTGACGCCGCGCATACAGCTATGCACCTGCAGAACGAAAATCGCGTAGGGCAGAAATAGGGCACAGTGTTGAACTCCCGAAGCATCTCGCTGCTGAACTTGCTATTCACAGAACTCACTTGTCGCAGTCCATGTAATAGTTTGTAAGGACAGGGTTTATTGCATCTTTCATATGGGTAAAAGGTATACTTGTTTTGTGATTTTATTATGACTACCCATATTACACACAAGAGCCGGTAGAGACAGGATGCGAGACTGCATGTATAGTGAACAGGATGTCATGTGTTGAAAACTCACCTTAAGGGATGCTGTCTGGTTAGATACAAGCGTCCAATAACTACCGTCGTTTAAATCTCTACGTTGATGTGTATGTCACTTCTTCATCTTTGAATTGTGGTCACTGCGCATATTGTGCACGTGGATATGAAGTCGTTGAAATTAAGGCACATTTCTTTCCGACAACGTATACGTCGCTTAATCCAGCACTCGCTGGGAATTTCTGCTCATTTGGGAGGTGATCACAGTGATGAACCGAAGTATTCGCGGAAGTCTCACTCGAGAAATTCAGCCTTCTTGCAGACCCTGTTCAAGCAATTTCTCACATGTAACTGCTTGAGCAAGCTTCAATACGAACACTCTTTGAGATGGGTGACGGTGCATTATTCTATACTTATCGATATGGTTATGTTTTGTTCAGCACACGCCTTCGTACTTCAACGGTCTTTAAAACAACTGAATTTCTATGAATTTGCATCGCATAATCTCCTTCGGTTGCGCGCCTGAACTAGCAATAATATACGACGGCTTTTTATTGTTTTATCAGATCTCGGAGCAGCACATTGTATTCGTCACTATGCTGTCCCACTTGAATAATTGGCTGGCAACCGCTCACACCTCACGACCCACCTTTACGCATGCGCGGTGCCTTGCCAGCACAGACTCTTAAGACAAGGAGTCACAATGAAAGACCCACAGGCAACATTCAGCGGCAGTTACGAAGCAATGAGCATACGTTGCTTTACACTATATACCTGACGAGTCTTCAGATGTTGAAGATCGTCCATAGGCAAGTGGACCACGTGGTTGATTGCTTTGAAGGCTAACACTTAGGGTCAGCACTTGAAAATTTGTGTCTTACGCGAATACTCTTAGCAGTGCTGCTTTCAATGCCTGCACTGCGAAGGAAATATCATAATAAGGGGCCTTCGGAGTACAAGGAATAGTATTACTCCGCATCGCGCAGCGATGACGCACTTCCACGGCATGTCGCAGGTCCCTCTTATCCACAACTGACCACGGCCTTGTCTTATCATTCACGAACAGGTTGAACCCCTGAGCACCGCTTGCAGCTTTGGGATGCTCCGGTGTCGCAGCAGAATGACAATTCTGACCTGTGCATGGTAAAAAAAAAATAAGGCGTGGCCATTAAAAATATGAGTAGAACAAGATACAAGTGATATTGACGAGTCGTTTCCCAAAATGGTTCACTATGTAAATGACTTGAAATTTTAAACTAGAATGCGTAATTGAGCCATTGTTCTATTGTGCTAAGTTACTAGCTACATTTAGTGGAAGAATTCCTGCAACACTTTTTGAACATGGTCAGAAAACCCTGCCGATCGGCAGTAGAGGCTCTCGAGAACACGCGAGATAAATATTATGAGCAGCACGCAGCCTGATATGTAGAATAATTTGTCAAATTCGATAAAAATCACTTCCTCTCCTTAAAAATTATTGCGTCACAGCTCAAAGTATCCCACCATCAGCTGATTATGCATGGCGCGCTCAGGAGCTACTAGAGCCGCAGCGGGAGGCCGCGACGTGTCCATGCGTGCGCACGAAATTTTAATCAAAAGCTGAACGACTGGAGAAAAAAAAAAGTGCTCAAGGTCGCGAGGCACGCGTGACGTACTTTCTACGTCATGTCATTGCTCCCTGCTTAGCCTCCAGCTTTTTCAGTAGGATGACAGAACAAAGAAAGCAGTTGCAGCGTGCGACAAATCTTTGTAACTGGACTCGGCCCAGACATATTCTTAAAGTGTTTGCGGCAGCGAATTCGTGAGGCTATGAGTTTCATACGAATCCACTTGATGGCTAATTGACAAAGTGTTGTATGGCCCTTTTAACGTAGATCTATGTTCATGTGTTCTTGAAAAAAAAACATCAGACCCAATTCATTCTTAGTGAAAGCTGTGCAAAATGCAGAACATTGATGAACCTGAGTCTCTTTTTCGTTTGTTTTGTATTTGCATAGCGCAGAAGTACGTACGAAAAGTGCTAAATGCGCATCTGTGCACTTGCTTTGCAAACTGCCTTCAAGAAATAGCTACACGGTTGTGGGCAAACTTCTTTCAACCATATAGATTACCGCGGGAAATTACAAAAGGTTCTGGTATACGCATATCACTTCAATCCTGCCAATCTTTCAAGTATCAGGAAAACTTTACACGAGATCGAAGCTATCAGCTGTAGTCTGCCTATTCATCTTCAATCAATGTTGCGACTGCCAGTCAACAGCCTCGTCACACTTACCAGTTCCGAGACGCACTTCAACCAATCGCACCTGTCTTCGGGAAACTTCAGAAGATTTACGACCCCCGTCAGCCACTCGCCTTTCTCGTTAAAAAATAGGGCACGTCTTCGCGTCGTGTAAAAAGGGGGATTTGTGACCTGAATGCCTATAAAGCAAAACGAGCGTAATTAGCATTCGTTCTTTACGTAAACGAAAGAAAGTTAAACTCACGTTCGGTCATAATAAATTCTAAACACCTCCTGGCTATTCTTGCGCCTCCAATCCGATGCTCTCTTCAACCTTGCTGATGAGTTGCGCTTGTGAGAATTCTGCCAGGCGGAAGCAAACGATCATAAACAGATGGAAAACGTTCTCAAGCAAGAGCGAGTAGGAATCTCCTAACGTTGATAATGTATATTTTTCGTAGAATTCTAGGTCACCAAGTAAAGTTTCTTGTTGTAGACCAAACTTGTTATATTGTTATTGACCAACTCGTAGTTTAGTTTCCGGTTTCTGACGCGGGATTCAAAAAATATATTACATATGTGGTGTGTCAAACGACTTCTGAATTGGTTATTTATTCATGAGTTATAGTTAGCTAGTTATTAACTTATTCGTTTTTTCAATATTTATTTTACATCATTGGTTCTCCATGAACTAGCTAGCAAGCTATTAGTTAGCTAGTCAGCTAATTAGGCTTGCTTTTATGACGCGAACCGAATCGGCAGTTATGTTTAAGTTACATTTACCGTCGCTTTGCTTGAAAACTTATTATACACATTCAACGCCTTTATATTTATACAGCTTGTTCACTTGATGCCTAGTACACTCGCTCATAGTGTATACATAATCTTTATCGCGATATTATTAAGCAGTCACGTAATAAGTGATAAGAAGCTCTCTCTCGTGTCACAATAACTATTTAAGCCCTAAAACACCAATCTCATGTAATACAGCCACAGAGGTGCAGCAGACATCTTCTAAATGCGGGAATTCGCTTTTACACGCAAACCTAATCAATATTATTGCTCCCACTTGGACAATGATATATCCCTCACCTTGTTTCGCCGTAGTCAGACGCTCCGCCGAAGCAAGAAGGTCGTCACGTTCCGCAAGCTGCAGGTAAGCAAATAAGGAAAAAAGATTGAGATTGAAAGATTGGTGTACTGATACTCTTATATTTATAATGCATGCGTATATTAAACACACACTACCATTTCTGACATATCTGAGAAATATATATTATTATCAATTTGTTAACAATACACAATAACTATTTAAAACTACACGTGATGCACTGTAATTACATGGTAATTATGAACGTGGTATGAACGTGGTATGTAAATGCACACCACAAGCTTCTACAAATTCAAACGAAATGCGTGACCTTGCTCACGCATTCTGTTCCTTCCTCATTATCAACTAATGGTCTATCCCCTGTTTAACTCTATAGCACTTAAAGTAACATTTTCTTTTTGTGTGTAAATAGAAATGTGGCACTAGTGTTTGGAAGGGCGGCAACAACCAACGCAGGATGCTCCTTGACTGTATAGGGCGAGAAACTAGAACAAAAACTAATATTATGAGTGCTCATAGTGTATACATAATCTTTATCGCGATATTATTAAGCAGTCACGTAATAAGTGATAAGAATCTCTCTTTCGTGTCACAATAACTATTTAAGCCCTAAAACGTGACAATATGAATGAAGTTCATCATTTTCTTAAAATCCCCACCTCGGGCTCCACTTGAGTTGCGAGGTCTGGATTTGGCTGCTAGGTTCAGGATACAACAAAATTGTAATCATTATTGCATGTACATTTTTTTACTAATAACATTGTTTTTAATCACCAACACAGAGGTCAGCTTCCATATTCCTAGACTAACATCTATTTTGTGTATTTTCCACTTTCATTATAGCTTATTCAAGGATCATCATAATCATATTTATCGTCGTAATCATCATCCTTTCCAGCACCTTGTTTGTATTTTCCTTGCGAGTTTTTTTTTTTTTTGACATTTAAGTGGGGCAGTGGGGTTCTAGCCTGTCTGGTCTCTGTACATAATACGTGTGCCTGCTATTACTACAGGCGTATTTTGGCAAGTATATGAGCTCACCTTTTGCACTGAATCTCTGGGTGCGAAAGGCACATCGTAGGCGGACCGCTGCGCGCAGCTTTCCGCATCTAACTCGATGTTCTCGTGAACAGTTGGAAGGAAGCGAGCCAGAGTGGTCGCCTGGATGCCCGCCGCGTCACTGTCGTCACCGACGTGGCAGGGCAGCATTCTAGGTCCGAAAGGTGACGGCAGGTACAGCTGCTCGGACCGAGATGCCGAAACGCCGTGCTCCTGCTCCTGCAGTACTGGCTTCTCGTACTCGCACATTGGCACGGCTTCAACCGACTTCCTCGTCAAATAAGACGAAGACGTTCCATCTCCTGGACGCCAAACTGAAAAAAAAAAAAAGAATACGTTTCAAAAAAAATAAAATATTCGTTTGACTATATTATTTTTGAACTCTTTGATGAACGAGCTTGTTCAGTGTGACTCTTCAATAACTTTCCCGTGTCAGTGTTCATATCAAAATAACTACTACATTTATGAAGTTACCAGCTAACACAAGGAGTCAGTGAAGTCCTCAAAATCTTTGAACGTTTAGGAGACAAAACATCATTATTAATGCAATTGTTTTGCGGAGAGAAAAATTGCTGAGTGTGAAATTGAGCGATGAGTACCGCCCCTTCGCGCAATGTTATTGAATTGCCCGCTACCATTTTCGTAATCTCAATGTTCCAGCCATTTGTACTGATAGGGTTATAGGGAAAGGGGAGAGACGATCAATAAAGTATTCGTTTGCAAACGGCAACTTTCGTAGTATTTAAGTGCTATACATGACTACGATGTGACACCTGGCCTTTCTGAAATCTGGTTTCATATCATCTAATAAACAGCTATTGGTCACTTTTCTTAAATACTTAAATAGAGAAGAATATATAGAGTATCACGCACCTAACCGACGCCTCCGTAGTGCAGCGAGGCGCCTGCGGGACATGGCGTAGCCTACCACGACCGCACCAAGGAGCGTCACCAGCACCGTACATACAACTGGAACGATGACGTCAACGCTACGTCGTTGCAGGTCAGTCGCCTCCGTCCAGTGAGTGGCCGACAAGGCACCTGCGCAGAAGCGTTCAACTCCCACTAGAGCACTCAGTGACACTAAGGGTGAGCAGCTTTTCACTGTAAGACAGACAATGTGAAGTGCCTGAAGTGTTGCCACGACTTTCTGAATGTTTGGTGTTGAAAGCATTGGGTGTAAATGCTTATGCCCTGTTTACGTATGATTTGTAACATCCGCGGTTGAAGGACGGTGGGCTGCTCTGCGCCGTGGCACAATTATAACCATCAAAGAAGCGAGTCATTCGTTCAAATTTAGTCATGATGCATACTTCCTCAGCAATTTACCTAATGAAAACAATCTGCAATAGGATGATGAATTGGGAATGTTGGTGACAGTTCATTTCGACTTAAAGCGTGAATGGGCAAGAATGGAGCAAGAAAACGGTGTGGGCGCTTATTGAAAAATGAAAGATTTATTGAAAAGAAGCGGTTTATAAATTATAATTTGCGGATTTCCTCATTCCCCTTCCCCAGTGTAGGATTGCAAACCGGGCGCGGATCTGATTGACTTTCCTGCCTTTCCTTCCTTTTTTTCTTTTTTTGGACATATTAGGTAAACAGCTCACAGCAGCATGACTGGTCACTATTAAGTCAGAAACAGTGTTATCTACTGATCTGCAGGAAATGGTCCAAAAAAATCTAGCTCACAACTCCGTAGAGTCACTGACGTTTCAGTTACACAGGTGTCTTTTCTCATTATGAAATGCTTAAGCACTCGTGCTTGTATACTTGCGCTTAACGTTATAACAAAAAAAAAAACGAAACACTTCGATTACTTTCAATTCTAGAGTAGTCAATATTATCAACATCAACCCCGAGACTGTGGTTCTTCATAAATACAGCGTGATTATAGGAAACAGACTGCCACACTTAAAAGTCTGACTGGGGTTTGTCTGGTCAGGTATTGGGTTCTGAGACGAAAGACGGTCACTGACCAATTCCAATGAAATCATCCAGCGTTTCGGAACCACGTACGGGTTCCTTGTTAACACAGCTAGACTGGAAGTTGTTGTCAATTAAGTAGTCAGTAGACCTACTGGTTGCTTAGTTGAAAACGACTTTCAGCTCAGCTCAATGCATAGGGTTCCGAAACGTGGGATAATTTCGTCAGACTTGATCAGTGACCACGTCTCATCTCATGAAACAGTCTTGGGACTGCTTTCTCTATGTCTACGCTGTAATGGAACACGTAAGGCTCTGTTGCATCTCACCTTCAGACAGCGTGGGCGTGGCGAACGCGTACTCGGCATGCGTCGAGCCGGCCTCGCTGTGCGCCGTGACAAGCAGTTGGTACCTGGTGGCCGGTGTCAGGTGCCTGATGACCAACTCCTGCGGCAGCTTGGATAACTCGGACTCGTCCGGTGCATGCACAGTGACCGGAGCGTCCCAGTGGTCGTGCGCCGAATGCCTCCTGTGGAGCACGGTGAACGAAGTGATCGGGCAACCACCGCTTTTCCACGTGGTCAGCCGCAGGACCGCGCGGGTCGGATTCGCCACGAGCAGCTCTCGTAAGTCAGGAGCCACGGGCACTGTACGGCAAAAAATGTAAGGTATGAGGAATAGAGGGGGCACACAATATGAAGAATTGACATGCAAGAGTGGTCTATTCACATTTAACCGTCAAAGCACGTACCCACCCTGTAGCTTAGCAAATAAGGCAACTTAGCTTTTGAAATCGAGGACACGGATTCAATTTGAGCCCGAGAGCGGCTGCATTTTGCAATGGAAGAAAAATGCATTGCTTTTTTTTTTACTTCTGTTTACATTGAGTAGAATTAGTACAGTTTTTCTAAGAATATTTTTAAGAAGACCCGCAAAAGCCTATAGCTATGGCACCATACAGTTTGTGCATATTTTGTTTAACATATGTGTGCAATAAAGATAGTTCATTCATTCAATCATTTGTCATCCATTCATTCATTCAAACAACTTTGTAATTAGGTTTAAGTGATGACAAGAATCTCAGATAATTAAAACTCTCCCAAAATCCTTCACTGTGGCGTGTGAAATAATCGTATTGTGGTTCTGGGACGTGAAACCCGGAAGAATTGTTATTACCAATAGGTTAAATGTACTCACTCAAGCTAATTTACGAAATATGTTTTATTTTAAAGCCTAAGTCCAGTTTGTCAGAATTCTACTCAGCCTACCGTGGTCGGACTCAAACTAACCACATCTTTCTCAGCCGGTTTCACTAAACCTCAAAATCATCGAACTTCTGCAACCCGATTCACTTAGACGTGCACTCATATGCCACTATGACTGCTGAGAGTCTGGCCGAGTTCATTTGTTAAAGAATGTGCAGACTTGTGAGCCTGTAACACGCATGGATTAGGTGGTGTGCGCGAGCTAGAGCTGTACGGGCGTTCCGAATCTGAAAGTCTCCCATTTAAAACCTACTGAAGCCATTTGGCACAGATGTCACCCACTGAATTACATACACTTTTAAATGCAATCACAATACTCAAAAGCACATACTCTGTAAATAACACGCGGTTCATATCCTAAGATGTGTGGTTTAATTGAACTGCTGTCTGGACCAAAACCATTTGGCGTGACTGCAGGAACAGGAGTGGTTCACTTGTAAAGCAGTCCTGGTTTCTCCCATGTCAAGCCTCCCTATATTAGCTGCTTTTGTTTTTGATTACTCTACAGTGTCGTGTAGCTTCGTGAACACCAACCTGAACCGTCGGTCTTGGCCAGCACGACGTTGCTTCGAGGTCCTCTGCCTGCGGAGTTGAAGGCCAACGCGTAGAAGATGTAGCTGCTTCCGCAACTCAAGCCGCGAAACATATACGTCGACCTCTCGGCCGTGGCTTGCACGGATGACCATTCAGGCGTCCCTTCGGGAACAATATTTGTCGTGCCTAGCCGTGGTTCACCTTTGTAGAACAAGAGATAGCCTGCGAAAAACAAAAATGCAGACGTTTCTGATCATTTGTTTTAAGACTACACTGCAAGCGTTTCATGTCAATGTGGCCCTGACCATGTTGTCAAAAAAAAAAAAAACGACTCAAACGACCATCACATCCACTGTGTAAACTTGTTATCTGTAATTGACACACTGGTTACAGATACTGTGAAGGCAATGGCATGAAATAATTTTGCTCTGTTATCAATTTTGAACGTGCTTAGCAGTTACGCTGGCAAACTTCCGAAAATATAAGTGCGTATGCCAACTGGCACCGTGAAAATCTCGGGCACGATATGATTGCTGTTTAGAAGCCAACGCTTCAAAAGAAACGTGAACTCACCGTCGACAGGTTGGTGCTTCGACGCCAACCAGCTGAGTTGAATCGTGGAGGCCGTTGTCGAGACCAGCTTTAGCAGCGGAGGAGCTGGAATATCTACCAAAGATGGAACACACCATTCAGATTTGCGTACTGCGAAGTTTGTTTAACTTGCATTCTTGTCTCCTATCATCCCAAGTAATTACGTGCACTAAGGCAGCTTGAAAATGTCACATTGCATATATAAATTTCTTTGAACCCACACTGCAACAGGGATGTACGAACAGGCTCGCACGTTACAGACAAGGAAGAAGAGCCTGTCCCTCGCTGCAAGCACACCGCACGAAAGAAGGTGTGGCTTTCACGCAAATACAAACACATAATTTCTACACGGTTCTGACATATAGTCCCACATGCTTTGTACACATAATGCCAGTCATATCAAGCGTGGCCGATCCACCAATAGCAAATATAAGCCCCGAAACAAAGATTGCTAATACGGCCCCAGGTGCCCATTAGGAGCCAGCGCATCAATTGAGCCTAGATGAGCCACAAGGTGTAATTCGCTTGAACTTTCACGCTTACGAGCCAGTCTCGATTGCAAATATTTTGTCCTGAATTATGGGCCCATGTTTTCAGCCGTGTCCCGCATAGAGCGCATTCAATCTTATTGGGACAACATTCAAACGCGGACCCGTATGATGTTGGCATCACTGACCAACGTCCGGTGTGTGGGCGACGATTTCGTCGGACGACGGTCCAGCCCCGTCAGCGTTGAAGGCTTGCACCACGATGCCGTAGCGAGTCCGGGGACGCAGCTCGCTGAGGATACACTGCTGCCGTTGCGAGGGTGAAGAGGACGGCAGGCGGCTCTCCAGAGTCTTGTACAAGTAAGGTTGGCCGCTACCCCACACGCGGTAGCCTACGTAATAGCCTTGCACTCCCCCGTACTTGTCTTCCTCGGACGGTGGCTGGTTCGAGATCACGAAACGCAGGAGAGGGCAACAGTGAAAATAATGTTCATGGGAATGGCTTCCTCAAACACACAGATCCAAAAGCACCAGTAATAAAATATGTACTCATATTTGACATTCAGCGACATTTCGCGAATGACTCAACCATAAAGACCTGCATAAATAACTAAAGATCACAAAGCGTGGGCACCAATGTCATATGACATTCAATAGGTTCACGGATGCATGCGGCGGCGCTTGAAAAAGTAGCGTGGTTTGGAACCAGCGAGCCAAGCAACGCTGTTTTCGCCCGCCATTGTCTGAAGGTGCTAAGGTGAAAGGAAACTTCGAATGGTGGTCTCAATATCAAGGGAACTGTGTGCCTTCAGCCTCAGCCTCACGTCAACTATACGCTTATCCACTTCCAACACTGAGTCCACTCAATGAAAATAAATAAAAAGAAAGGCTACTGCATTAATTCACGGCCTTTATGACCTACTTCATTGGTTTGTCTCCATCGTGTTACATAGAACTGCAGCACAAAATAGTGAGATGATATTCGCAATAATCACCTTCCACGTCACGTAGAGGCTTCTCGAGCCTGCCGGCGTCACCTTAATGTCCTGCGGGCTGCCGCTTGGAGCTGCAACATGTGAGAAAGAAGACAAAAGGATTTTTCTGTGTTATAAAATTTCAATTTGTGAATTCGCATCGTCCCTTCTGTAAACGCTATGCATCACGATCATTACTACATAAACAGATATTCTGATGATGATTTTCATCTCAACATACTGTTTTTTTAGCATCACGTTAGGCCTGTTGGTATCAACGTAACGTCCTACGAGCGGCTGCCTTTGAAAAGTAGACATACGTGTTTTCACGTGTGGTCCATCGCCGGGGTAACCCATCAAAAGTATCAAGTAAAGAAGGCTGAAGGTGTTGTCTAAAGAAATATAGTTTTACAACGCAAACATGCGACATCGGTATAAAGAAATGTACTGTCATTTTGTTAAAATATTCGTCTTATGCGTGTAATCTCAAACCATAAGTTATGATGCTGCAGTGAACGTCACACTGATACCTTCTTGCTTAGTGGTGACAATGACCGGATCGCTGAAGTCCCCAAGTCCGAGAGCATTTCCAGCTCGGACTCTGAATTCGTAGTTAGTCGAAGGTTGCAGTCCTTGTACGAGATGCGAAAGCCCACCGTCAGTTGGGTGCGCAGTAGAGACATCCACTTCTCGCTCCCAAGTTCCTCGAGAAAGAAACGTAAAGAGATGAGGAGCGCTTAGGCGTCATTTTGTTAGAGTTTCCAGATAAAAGATGCGTATGAGTGTAGACGCAGTTTGCATGTGCCCTTAACCGCTTCACTGCGGCAAAATTAGGTGGCAGCCGTCTAGCGCCAGGGCATGAACGAATAAACATTAGCGCAATTCATGCTAACTTTACAAAACACAATAATACTGTCTAGCTTAAGGATGCCTAGAGACGTTGGCTATGCATAAGCATTCACTATCAAATGAATGGTATTCACGTTAAGTATCTGGTTCCCTGTCTTGCTCATATTGTTGCTATGAGAAGTATACGAGTTCAGCACACGTCTTTATATAATTACGTCCGATTGTTACACAAAGCACATGCAAGAAATAATCGGTCATTTCGCACGTCTCTTTACAATGTTTTCAGATCATGCTGACAGAATATCGCCACCATTAAAATGTCACGTGCAAGAACTCCAGAACCTTTCACTCGCAACTGGGGGCGTCTACATGTGCCACAAAGTCATTTGCAACAGAGCTTCATGCAAGACGCAAAAATGGGTTTCCGTGTACGACAGCAATAAACAAAATTTCAAACAAGCATACCATGCAAAGTGTTTTATTTTTATATTTTCTATTGCGAATCTTTCTTTATATGCTTTAGTAAGAATCCGCTACAACATACATTGTATTTTCTCAGAAGGAAACTTGAAAGCAAAACGACAGCATACCTTGGTCATTGTTGCGGGACATTATTAAGAAGCAGCACACGTGGCATTTGTATAAGAAATCAAACCATGCGTATATCGTCGAATCTAATAAAGAAACTGACCTGAGCCAATTAGCTCCAGGCAAACTATATATGTGTATTCTTGTAGTATATGTGGTTCAACTCCGTCGGTAGATGGAGTAGACCAAACTCTTTGGATAAAGTGCACGGTCAGTTTCGAACGTACGATCTCACCAGATAATGTCCTGTGTTCAAGCAGGTACTTCAGCAAGGGGCTGTTGCCCGAGTATGGTGCTGACCAGGACAACGTCACCGTTCGGCTCGATATGTGCGTGGGCTCGAGACCAGAAACCTTGTCCGGAGGCTCTGCGTGCCCGAAATACAGAAGCAACGTGATCGTACCTGAATGAGCACGAAGCCAATAAGACTGAAGCAGGAAGAAGAAAATTTACCAATGTCTTCTCTACAACATACACTAAGTTACTTCGCAAATGCATTCATCATCTATTGCAAGGTATGGGGAGTATGGAGAACAGCGTAAGACCACAAAGGGAAAAAAATAATAAAATAAAGCAAACTCTATGCCAAACGCACTTCGGTGCATCACGTATCGGCGAAATTCTTGCTTTAAGTTTAATTATATTCGCCTGTACCATAGGACAATTCGTCCCTTAAAGAATAAAAGAAAATGCGCCAGCTTCATGTACAAAGCACGGAGGAAAAGCAATACCGAAGTCTCAGCACAGAACAGTAGGTCTCTTTGTCATGAGGTCGTTTTTTAAGTGCGTCGACTGCACGCACCATAACGAATGTGCAGACAAGTTGTAGCTGTAGGAAGGTATCGGGTTCACGATCACTTGTTTTCTTTTGTGCTCTCCCCGTTCAAAATCCAAAGTTCACAGCAATTAAAACATAAGCCTAGGGCGCCAACGGTTTGGGGTTCCCATTACTAAACACTACAATTCGCCCGGAATCACACACTTTGCAACAAGGTACTGACAAATGTGGCACATCACATTTTAACACCATTAGATGATTTTCACAAAGCATAAATTCACACAGATTCGTTGAAATAATACGCTAAGCGTTGTTAGGCTCAATATTTATTTTTTTTTCTCTCTGCTTTTCTTTTCACTTGCCGCACAGAAAATGAAATTTAAACGGCAGTAAAAGCTAATTATTCACCATTGTATGGGCCGTCTGTATACCTTGTATGATGAGACGGAAGCTGGCATCGTCAGCACCGTAAGCATTCTCCGCGCGGCACCCAAAGAGCGATGAGTCACGACGGTCGGCGCTAGTGATACGCAGCACGGACTCCGACCACGAGCTGCCCGTTTTCTTTTCGACCGCGTACCTGCGGGCAGAATTTTACTCAGCCACTGTGAATTCACTGCCAACAATCACATGAAGCACTTCATTAAGATTTTTAATCTTGTTCCTTAGTAAAGAAAGGTCAGCAGATGCACGTGAATTTGTTTATACTTTTTCAAAAAACACTTGCCCAACACCTTAAAAATTGTGTTTCTGATTCCTGCAAGATGACTTTAGCTCAAATGCGAATTTACGTTATCTTTTGTGTGTTTAGTGTTGAATAGTCCACATTTAAAAAATGACCAGCGCCACCTAGAGGCACCGTAATCTCCTAAAATCATGTGTTGAAAAAGGTGAGGTAATGAAAGTAAGCAAGGAAGGTCTCAAACATAGTTTGCAACACCGCCTTGGCATAGGCCTGAAGCCCTGGCTCGTTGCAAGCCGCGCAAAAGTATCTGCTATTATATCTGTGCACAAGTTGATTGATTGATTGATTGGATTGATTACTTGATTGATTGATTGATTGATTGATTGATTGATTGATTGATTGATTGATTGATTGATTGATTGATTGATTGATTGATTGATTGATTGATTGATTGATTGATTGATATGTCGGGTTTAACGTCCCACAACCATCATATGATTATGAGAGACGCCATTGTGCAGGAGTCCGGAAGTTTCGACCACCTGGGGTTCTTTAACGTGCACCCAAATCTGAGCACACGCGCCTACAGCATTTTCGCCTCCATCGAAAACGCAGCCGCCGCTGCCGGGATTTGATCCTGCGACCTGCGGGGCAGAAGCCGAGTACCTATGCCACTAGACCACCAACGGTGGGGCACCACGGCGGGGCAAACAAGTAAAAACTGTCTATTTCAGGCACAGGCACAAATGAGTGGGTTTGTTTGTTAAACTACTCCACCTGACGATCATCGACGTTGTCGATGTGTGGTGGAGACCAAATCAAGCGTTCATAAGAAGCGTCACCTGGGCTCTTGAGCTGGATCGAAGCGACGGCCATCCCGGGTCCAACTGATATCTATGGACGGGTCACCACGAGCCCTGCACTCCAGAGTGGCAGAATCACCACGCCGCACTGTGACCGCCTTGAACTTCTCGTCGAAGTGGGCCGCCACTGCGCAGACAACATGATACGACCTACTTAGGGTGAAAACAACACTACTAAGTCTGCAGATTACGACTTTTCCGCAAACCAATCAGTGTTTAACCGTGAGCCACATATGGGCCTTTGTGCATTCACCAAAGTCGACGACGAAAAACAGTGCATCGCAGTTCAAGCAAGTTAAGTTTTAGCACTGTCAACAACAGCATAATAACGATTATGGCGAGGTTTCAATTACGAAGTTTCAAGAACATTGCACTAGCATTGTGGGTGGTGATCTCCGTGCGAACCAATCTCCAGAATTGTAATGCCCGTACGGCTGTACGAATTGGTGAGGTGTCATTGAAATTAGTGAAAAAAAAAAATAAAGAGAGGTAATTATGACACATAAAAAGGTGTCCGAATTGGGGGACCCTTAAGCGTCACCTTTAAGAGTTGAACGTGATAGCGATATTCTGTCCCTTTGGTACGTACATTTCCGAACTTGATATATGCACCCAAAACGTGGCCTAAAGGGTGCAGTAGCGAGTGTGCCGTTAGTGGTGGGTCACTGGCTTCATACTATAAAGTCATCATAATAATCGCATGTTCTGATGGTAGATATCAATGTACACTTGTACCACAGTATATTACGACGATATTCCATGTTGCATTGTGAAGCATATATAGAGGACATGTGTGTTTGTAAAGCATGGAAGTTACTTTCACTGCATTTCCAACCAGAGGAAGCTGTTTTCACTGTACACACAAGCAGAGGCGTAGCTGTGTGAAAGAATACCCGCTTAAAGGCCCGGGTTTGATCCCCCATTCAGACTCAAAAATTTTTATTGTTTATTTTATTTTCATCTTTCTCAATTTTTTGGTCACGCAAAGATGATTTTTCGCTCACAACCAACGACGCCGACGCCGACGCCGGAGCGTCTGCGAAACAAGCTCTTTGACGCTCCATTAATCTCCCGACGCTAGTGCACCATTCTAAATCCATAGATTTCCAAGCGTTCCTGTAAATATTTGTGGCATATGGATAAGAAAAATAAGTGTAGGAACGGAAGGTTTCAACCTGCAATGCACCGAACATAACGGTGCGTGGTGGTAGTCTCACTGATGCGAGTCTGAATCTTCGCGTTGTTCAAGAATATGTTTTGAATGAAATCCACATGGCTCTTTGTGCATTCGCCATGGATGACTGGTCTACGAAAGCCGACCATGGTGGTTATTTTATCTGATCCGTGGAACCCCCACCACCACGTCCATCATCACGATCATCATCATTGGACCTTGAGAAATCACGTAGGCTAAGAAGCTGACGCTTTTTGCTACTCTAGCTGATGATTAATTATAGATCATTCCTTTGTTTTCTGTTCGCATCTGTCAACCACCCACTCGTTACGAAAATTACATGGTGTGACACCCTGTGTCATTACACGCCTCTTGCACGCAATATTAGATCGGTTAACATGACTCCCAGGCTGGCCCGACATGAAGACTGTATTATATATTTTTTTCTTGAACCAGCTTCAAGCAGTACCGTGACTTTCGGCACTGCTTGACTCGATTCCAGCTCAGACTCTGATTTTATTTATCTGATTTCTTGTGACGCGTGAGTACGTGTCCCACACACCTGATTATTTAAAGCCATCTTCGCATGACATGCTTAATGCCACTGCGTTGCTAAAATGGAATGGGAAGAGTCCACATGATCTCTGGCATCCATGAAAAAGATTCTTAGAAAGATGACACGTGCAGGTAAGGACGAATACTCGAGCCTTTCTTCTCGATCATCATTACTTAGGCGCAAAAAAATCATCACATACTTACCTAGTGTCTTTCTCAGAATGAAGGCTCACGAATGAGACTCAGTCCTTTCTTAACGTTAAACCTCGTAAACCAAACCAGACCGAATGAAACTTTCTTCTTCCCTGCGCAACCAGTCTGACAACCACAAAGCTTCATCCCAAAACCACCCTATGATTATGAGAGACGCCGTAGGGGCCCTGCAAATTTCGACCACCTGGGCTTCTTTAACGTACTCCCAAATCTGATTACACGGGCCTACAGCACTTTCGCCTCCATGGAAAATGCAGCCGCCGCAGCCGAGATTCGATCCTGCGACCTGCGGGAAAGAAGCAGGCAGAGGTGGGAAGAAAGGTATGATATAATTGTCCGTAGTGGCCTTGGTACACGGGGTGTCACTAAATTTGTGGTGCGAATGGTTTGATGAAACGCCGTTCTCGCTTTGTGCCAGCTATTTGCTAATAGCATAATATCCGCTGCCCAACGTTACACATCGGGTTCTGAGGGCCCCGAAAGGAGTGTGAACGGACCCCTGTGTAAAAATTGGGTGCCTGAGCAAACGGGAACTTCTCGATCCGCTGCTAAGATTCTTCGCCGTGCAAGGCTGCAAAATTTGGCTGAGATGTGCACAGCAGTTGTGTCTTCTCACCAAGTCTCAGAGCGGCTCAATAAAGAGAAAAACAATTATTTTCGTACTGGTTAATTGCTCTTTCCAAATACCAAATTACGAAAGTTGCCAAGAGAAGACGACTGATACGGGAAAAAACGGCGCAAATAGAAAATGCCGGTGGCGACAGCACCTTGAAGCTTCCGCACGAGCCGCAGTGACGTCATAGATTTTGGCGGTGCCTCTCCCACGCGCACGCCTTTAATCGGTAGAAAGTAAATGCATCATCTTCCAAGAAAGAAACATAACACACCAAATTTCAGAAAGTCTCGCTGAGCAAATGTGGCTGAATCACAACGAAACACTGAAATCCGTGATGGTAGCCTTGGAAATCTCGGCGGCGATCTTAAATGTGAAACTTTTGACATTGATTTTCTCATTCAGTTGTAAACCCTAGGTGGTGAAACTAATGACGCTAGTGCTTTCAGAGCAATATTTGTTTGTCGGTAAAAGTTTACTGATGTTTTGTGTCTCCTAAAAATGAACCAGTTCCAACGACGTTCACTTGGTGCTAACCGTGCACGTCCAGTTTGACGACGGTTGAGACGCCTGGACCAACTCCGTTCTGCGACTGGCACAGGTAGCGGCCGGCGTCCGGGCGGTCGACGTCGTCGATGGCCAGCGTGCCGTTCTCCAGCACCCGAACACGGGCGCTGCTGGTGATCGTCGCAAACTGGCGGCCCCCATCCTCCGACACTGGCCTCGGCCGAGAATAGAAACACAATACACGAAGTACAAGTACAACATCTAGACTTATACGCGTAGTGTGGCGCTGCACATAAGTGTCGGAAAAAAAGCTATTTGATTTCTCTGTTAAAAACACTTTGCACTGCACTTTTACTACACTTCTCGGTTTCACTGCATCTGCATTCACACAGAACTTATCGTAAAAAAGTATGATAAAGAAAGGGTCAAATTAAGAAAAACTAGCATGCGTTACTAATTCATGCCATGCGTCAGCAATATTGATTGCTAATATGACATGCGCACGAGCTGGCAGAAATTTCCTGTTTTTTGAAATTGAAGAATAAAAAGATTTGATGAGTACTGTAAGGTGCGCCTTATAAAGCACCAACAAATTAAATCGTAGAAATGTTCTGTCGTGTAAAACTAGCAAATTTGTACCTGCGCGTGTGCAATAAAACTTATTTACAAGCTGAATAAAAACCAGGAATGAATAAAATAACGTTTGGAAGATTCGCCATCCGAGTGCTCTGGGACCTCCTTCTGTATACCTATGCATGCATGTATGTTTTACATGAAAGTAAATAAAGTGAAACTGAAACCGAAATACGGTCGCCTATAGGTAACTGTGTTTAGTATGTCGATTAACCTTACATCCAGTCTGAAGCTCTTCTATAAATGAACATCTACCTACTTTCTTGTGTTCTAACATACAACAAGCGGGTTCCTCCGATATTCAATTAGGAAGCGCAGAGTAGGACGACTCAGTTGTGCAATAACATGAACCCACGAACTCTCTTATACATCAACGGCACTTTGCTAAACGCATTTCTTCCCTCTATGATGCAGTTTTTTTTGTTTTTTTTTTTTGTCGCGGTAGCATTGCACTACAGTTCTCAGACAAATTTCCTGAAAATTGTTGCAGAACACTGTTAAATATGAAAATACTTTCTTCGTAACACTCACAGCGCTCTTTCTTCCAGCGTATCACCGGCACAGGAAATCCATCAGCCTGACAGTCGAACATAACGGGCTGACCCATGGTGGCAGCCTTGTCCTCTGGTCGATGCCGCCATCGGGGACCAACTAATTGAGACAGTAACGATAGCTTTTTCAAGTCAATCGTATGACTTGAGTCAAATCAAATCAAATGAAGTTATTTTTCTTTCTTTGTTACAGAAAGAGTGAATTGTGAAATAAATAGTGTTTAAAACAGACAGATTCAAACTATTTGGACAACTTGTCCACAGCCCCATAAAAAGCACAAAAACAAAAAAAGAGAAGTTGTAGTGGTAGCAGCACCGCGGTGAGCATGGCGATATGACATTTTAGGGGAAGTGCGCTACAAACAGACGTACACACTGAAATGATGATTCTCATACATTTATGTATAGCAGATTCAGAACGAAATTTGTGTACAAAACGTAAACGTGATAACGTGAGTGTTATCCAGACGCAAAGATAAGGCACACATCACACTTCATGCAAGAATATGTTATATAGACTACTACATTATCTATAACATAAATTACCATCACACAAGGGCCTACATAAAATTTAAAAAAAAGTAAGTAGCCATAGCGAAGTTTTTTTTTTTTTTGCCCTGAAAGAAACCGTGTAAACGAAATTGCTATTTATTCGAAGATCAAGTATTACATTGCTACAAAAAATTCATGGATATGATATGAGTAGTGGAATAAGTCACAAACCTTTCACAGAGTACTATAAGCACTGTTTGCCAGAGTTTAACCACGTTGCATCTACCTCCCAATATTTTATCATTATGGAAGATATTCAAAGCACGTAGGTTGGCTAGAATGCGCAGATTTCCTATGTACTTACAAGTTTCCGAGCTGAATTTCAGTCAAAATTATCAACAAAGAAATTCAAACCACGTTGTTCCCGTTTGTGCTCCCATTACTTTTTACTTCGAATCTGAGAATTCATCTCAGGCGTCTTTTTATTTTAATTTTTGACATTTTGAGCACACAGTAACCTATATATCAAGGCTGATTCAAGTATTTAGACAATGACGAGTGCTTTTCCTCTATTTACAGATGTTCGCATTTCGAAGAGATAGGATTCATCATACTTCGAGCACCCATGCAGTGTGCAGTGGCGCATCCTTTTGCTAATTGTTGTGTTTCGCTGACAGCTGCCTTACGAAGTTTTATGTATTGTGAATCAAGGCGCAACCAGCCACAGCCACGGGCCAATCACGCGACTATCACGCCACAGGATGTCCCTGTTGATAAAAAAGTGTCACAACTCTCGTGTATTTTAATTGACAATACCGCAAAGTGCCCCACGTCAGCAGGAAACCAGGTTGCATTTCATTTCTTTCAGCCTCATTTCAGCATAGGATGAGAAAACTAACGAAAGAAATCGCAAAGAATTTAAAGAATGGGTAGGATATGATGAACCGAGTGAGTGGGTCCCCATTTTAGGATACTGTAGATCCTGGCTACCCATTTTGCCTGATCCAGTAGGACCCTTTGCGCCTCTGTCTCCGTCTGAGCCAAGAGAGAATCTTCCACGGCCCCCTGCTTTACTTAAGTAACCAAGCGTTAAATCAAAGTACGTAGGCCGGATAACCACTGTTCATTGAAGGTAACTGACTGGATTCCAAAAGAAGGCACTTGCGCAATAGGGAGGGAGAAAGTTTGTTGGGCAGTTGATATTAATATGATCCCAGCGCTGACGTGGCCGCAGCACGCACAATATAGGATTAATTGGCGAAACATAGGAGAGGCCTTTCCCCTTGTGCCTAGCTCAGGGCTTAGTCAGGCTGATAATGGTGATGAGCACATTGAGCGGCGTTGTTAGTACCTCTCACGACCATCGTGGCGCTGCGGTTTGCCGAGGCGGCCGGATTGGAAGCCACGCACGTGTACAGGCCCGGGTGCGCCTCCTGGCGGACGGCTGCGATGGACAAGAAGGAGGTGTAGTCGTTGGTCCGAGAGACGGTTGCGCCAAGCGCCGTCTCGTCCAGAGGCCGGCCGTCTTTGAGCCACGCGATGGAGATGGGAGGGTCCCCGTCCGACACGATGCAGGCAGCACCAGCCCGCTTCCCCTCCGTGAGGTCGTTGGGAAAATTGAACGGGCTCACCACGGGAGGCGCTGCAGTGATACGAATGTGCATCAAGATGCAATCAATTATCATGTCAAGTCCAAGCAAGTTGTTGTTCGTGTAAACATACAGAGCCGTCACAGCAAGGAGAAAGAAAAGGATTAGTAATCGTCTCTTAAGAGTGACACCATGCCAACTTATTTGAAGAGAAGAGATATGGCAAGAAACGTAATAGGAAAAAGAGTAGAGAGAGGTGCGAAAAAACAAAAACAAAAAAGGGAAAGGAAGGGCCGCCACCGCACGTCACGTCACACGCAGAGTGCCATCATTGGACACAAATGTGTAGTGAAGTGTTTGATAAGAATAAGCACAGCTTTATGATCATGCTAAATAGCAAGCATTCAAACACGGACACAAAAGAGAAGTCAAGACAACACAAACAGCGACAAAGAGCTGGAAAGGTCTTTTGTCATGAATACTGACGATTACCGTGAATCTCTACTAAGTATCTCAGCTTCCTCTTGTTCTAAGATTATCACAATCATACCTCCTTCTCTAGCGACCCTTGGAAAACAAGAAATTATTTACTGTTGTGCAAGGAAATCATGAGAGTGACAGCGACAAGAACTTTTATTGAAACGTCCTGAGGAAAAAGATTAAGGTGAGCCGGAGACGCCCCAGTCAAGCTGGCGGCTCCGCTCAAAAAAGAACAGTCATATCAAGGGCGGTGACAGCATGAGCCCCCTGTACAGCCTGTAATCGGTTTGTAAGGCCCTTACTGTCACCACTGATGTGGCACACCCCAGAGCATACGGGTCTAATTTACAGGGAAACAAAAAACAGCCTAACGTATCACAGAACCACAATTCGACCCGTCAAACCTAGTCGTTGTTAATGATGAAGTGTAACATCTGCCTTCCAACGGTGTCTTCTTTTTTTTTTTACCAAAAAACAGTTTAAGCTATCCTAAAACCTCGCCTAGCATCGTCATGGTAACCAGGACAACTTCGAATTGTCCGCAACCTTCGACAGGCTCCTCCCACCTGTATAGATATACAGCGAACGACCGTTTCGGCGCGCCATCGCCGCGCTATACCGGCAGATGACATGACAAGAGCGTGGGTAGGCCCTTTGCTTTGCCATGGACACGCCCAAACAAACCCCGGAAAGAGAAGCCGTGCATAGAGAATGCCACCAATCTGGAACATGCTCGGAGACGTCGAGCCGAACAGGCTGCTGTCAAGTGTTGCCGGCCAGCGTAAGACCCAGGATATGGAGCGCGGCGAAGGGATTACATGAAAAATCACCGCGAATCCACGCCCGGTCTACGTACGGCCGAAAACTTTGAGTGCAGAGCTCAGTACAGTACTTCTTCAGTGAATAATCGGTTTCATCAAGAGTTTCTGGGTACGAAATAGGGTATGCCTGTCACGTCTTCGCCTAACCTAGTGATGCCTAGCAATTGATGCCTATGTAACAAATCCTAGCAAATAAAAAAAAACATTCTTAAAACGTGAAAATGTACCAGTTTTGTTGCACCTAATCCTTGCACGGCTTAGCACAAGCTTTGCCGTATTTTTTTTTACCATTCCTATTTTGTTGCAGGAACACCCCATCGCGATAAGTGCAGGTATAATGTATAGTGTGTAAAATTTTTCCCCTTTTCAAGAAGAACGCCCCATATATAAACGCATTTATACAGTCTAACCTAATTTGAAAGTACGGTATTTCTCCTTCAAGGCTCACCTTTTCGTACGTAAAATTTTCTTCACTCCTGAGTTCCTAAAGAATAAGTGATAACAACGACGTGCTGCGTTCATTTGCTCATGACAGAGACAACTGGCCCTAGTAGCCGTCGTATATTATTCATGGAAGCAGTATAGAGAACACATATAACCACTTTGTAGGAAAGACACTGTTATTGATTCCTCCCCCAACTAGCAATCACTGATACACCTTGTGAAGGCTGTGTCATACAAAAATTATTCGAAGTTATTTTCAGTGTTCTGTGCTTGGTTTTAAACTTAAGCTTCTGCATGAAAGATACCTTGGGGGGATCGAAGAAAAATTACTTTTTGGCGGCCGTCGTGGTTCTCGAATTTTTAAACAGTTGTTGGAAAGAAATGTGCTCAGGAATTTATTTTGTATTCTGTCCTTTCATAGTGAAAGCAAACAAATTAAATTGCCCGAGAAATCCGTCCCCCTTTTTTTTAAACATGTCTCGGTAACCCTCACGTGTGGCTCGGAAAACAATATAAAACTTGTTCGATGTCTTGCGTAGCGTGGAACACATCAAAGCATGTATTACAGGAAACATACCCTTTTTGTCAAAACAAATTGAGCGCGAAGGATTTGTTTTCAGAGGCGCTCAGTACTCACTGCGGTAAGTGTCGAACCGTATGCCCGCTATTCGTAATATGCTTAAATCTACCGACTTGCAGGAGAAAGATGCGCGAGTGCTGTTTGGAAAGTCGATTTGGATCATAAGACCGGAGTATTAAAGAACCTCAAATTTAATCATAAATAATGTGTAACTGTATTTCAGGGTTTAAAGCATTTTGACGCTGTTTCGCTCTTAAATTTCTCGCGAGACTGCGGTTAGATTACTTTTGCAAGCATCACTATTCGCATCGTGTCCGGAGCTCTGTACTTGACGCTTGTTTTCACTCTCTTTGCAACGTTCATGTCCACGCATTTTGAGCACCAACGCCAGCTGAACAGCCCTCTCGCTTTTCAAAAAGAAAACCGAGACCATGGTGTACGTCGTATAATATAAGATTGGGTATATACTTGGATTTGGTACACTCATATGGACATATAAAATTATTTGCACTTAAACATTATCACGGGCGCTGTATCAAAGCGCACGCTGGCATCCAGCGGCCGTGACAGTATCTAGTACAGCTTTTTTTATTTCTGTATTGAGTATTATGTATTATTTACTTTTGTATCATTTATTGATGTATTTATGTATCTTAAGCGATAATCAACTTATTTGTTTGTTTTTGCTCATGACGTCCTCAAACGTCCCGTATAGAACTTAACAGGAGAAGTTCTGTTGGCGCATGCCACTGTATTATTTCCATCCCGACCGCGGCGGTAGCATTTCGATGGAGGCAAAATGGTAGAGTTCCGCGTACTGTCCGGTGTCAGTGCACGTTAAAGAACACCAGATGGTCAAAATTTCGGCAGCCTTTCACTACGGCGTCTCTCATAATCATATCGTGGTTTCGGGACGTTAAACCACAGATATTATTATTATTATTATTATTATTATTATTATTATTATTATTATTATTATTATTATTATTATTATTATTATTATTATTATTATTATTATTATTATTATTATTATTATTATTATTATATTATTATTATTATTATTATTATTATTGAGTCACTTTATTATGCTATGCGGCTTCAACAAACTCTTGAGAAAACCGTTAAAAACGTCCGGGCTTTTCTTTGTCATAATCAGTGGCATTTTCTTCGTAGTGTGACGGATACTAGCCGATGACACCGAAGGGCACCAAATTTTCCTTTAGGGCATTCAATAACAATCGTGTATTCGACGTTAACAATTCCGCGCGTGCGAGCTCTCGTCTTTTCTCAAAGTCAACCACTACAGCAGCGTTCTTGCGGGTGAAATAATGTAGACGTTCATGATTATCACCAAGCCCAGGTAGGGACTCACTCATCACTCGCACAGTGAGCTCGCCACCAGCCATGTTTCCGTCCGGGTCTGTGGCCGTGCATCCGTACGTGCCACTGTCCTGGCCGCGTTGCACTTGGTTGACCACCAGCGTGCCATTTGGGAAGCTGCGTTGTCGGTGGTTCTGTGGAAGCCAACGTCCATCTGTTCATCGAAAGTCGCAGGACAGGCGAAGAAAGGATAAAACAGTCAGGCAGGTGCAGAAGAAAGACCATAAATGTACTTGTTAGAAAGAGACAGAGGAGAAGAAATAGTGTTCACAAAAAGAAAGAAAAGAGAGCAGACAGCCGAAAGACTCTGTGCCTGACCTAACATTTATGCATTAGCTTGTTTTTACTCTCTTCTTCTTTTCTCTTTAGAGGGTGGAACGCTCAGAAAAAATGACCTCTGTTGCTTGCACTAAGTTTCAATTTTCGTAAGTTTAAAAAGCTCAGAGGATATTACACGTACGTGTGCTAAAGCTTTTAGTTTTCAAGGAAGTTAGTTAAGATAACTGTGTCATTATTCTTCATAAGAAATATAACGTAATTCATCATACAATCATGAAACTCATTTCAACAATCTGTGTTGAACAGCAGCTGCTAAGGCACTCAGCATTAACAACAGTGATAAGCGTGAAAGTACAGTAATCGTACGGTAACAATAAGCCTAGAAGTGTGCTAGGGTAACTTTTTCCCTCCAAATCAGGGCTGCGTAAGTCGAGATTATGCAATACTTCCAATCAACATCATAATAAAACACCACCAAGATCCCGGACCCACTCTCTGCACAATAATAGTGATCACCAGAGTAGGATGATCAAAAATCGGCAAACTGAATTTATTGCATAGTAGCGCGCTCTGTATAGGGCTATTCGTAAATTATTTACGACAATATCTCTCAGCATTTATATCGAATCATAAAGGCGGCAGAAACCTGGAGACTTACAAAGAGGGTTCAGCTTAAATTGAAGACGACGCAGCGAGCAATGGAAAGAAAAATGGTAGGTGTAACCTTAAGAGACAAGAAGACAGCAGAGTGGATTAGGGAACAAACGGGGTTTAAGGATATCATAGCTGAAATAAAAAAAAAAAGAAATGGACATGGGCCGGGCATGTAGCGCGTAGACAGGATAACCGCTGGTCGTTAAGGGTAACTAACTGGATTCCCAGAGAAGGCAAGCGGGTTAGGGGGAGACAGAAGGTTAGGTGGGCAGATGAGATTAAGAAGTTTGCGGATATAAATTGGCAGCAGCAAGCACAGGACCGGGTTAACTGGCGGAACATGGGAGAGGCCTTTGTCCTGCAGTGGACGTAGCCAGGCTGATGATTATGATGATGATGATAATAATAATAATAATAATAATAATAATAATAATAATAATAATAATAATAATAATAATAATAATAATAATAATATGATGATGATGATGATGATGATGATGATGATGATGATGATGATGATGATGATGATGATGATGATGATGATGATGATGATGATGATGATGATGATGATGATGATGATGATGATGATGATGATGATGATGATGATGATGAAGGTGGCAAGGAAACACGAAATGACGAGCACGTTGCGACTGCTGAAGACACACACCTTTCTTCCAAGTAACGCTGCGAATGGGATGTCCGGCTACGGGACAGTGTAAGACCATACTGTGACCTGCCAGAGCCGTGACATTGGCCATCGGTCGCCGAAGCACGGGCCTGCCGGGAACAATTAGGTGAGCTGCGTGCGAGGCCTGGCCAGCGCTGTTGCGTGCCTCACAGGCGTACAGGCCGCCGTCTTCTACCCGGACTCCCGTCAAGTTCACGTAGCTGTGCACAAGACTGACGAGAAACGTGGAAACGGTAAGCTAAAATGCCGTTTAATAAATCTTCTTTAGGTTTTTGATAAACTATTCTGCCCGTGACAACTGATTATAGGAAAATATTGCACGTAACCATAAACAGTATGGTTGTATTAGAGTACAGTGAAGTGTTGTACGGGGCGATCTGGCATATATTCATGGTGAGATCTAGCGCGTAGACATCCAGGCACAGAGAAGAATACACGGGGCAGCCGCTGGCTGAAAACTCAACTTTATTGAAAAAATCCTCCTTTTCAAAGTTGGCGGTAAGGTAACAACAAACCAGCCAAAACTAGGGTTCCACAGGAACATCCGTGAACGAGGCAGAATCAAACGAACAAATTTGATTAAAACCACGAATCAAACGTTGTAATGAATAAAGTGAACATCGCCTATAACGGCACGAGGAAAATTATCCTTACGCTTTTTTTTTTGTTTTCAGGAAATACATATACTCAGCCTACCAAATAAACGTAGCGAGGTGGACTAACACACGTGCCAATCTCCCCCTTAAAAATGGCAGCTTGAACCAGTTTTCCAGCCACTTATTTTTGGCTGTCTTTTTGCGTATTTTTGGCTGTTTTGTTCTGACGTTACCGCTAGCTACAAAAACAGGGTTTTCTTTTTATTGGGCTTCAGTTTTTAATCAGCTCCTCTCCAGTGTGAGGCCGTGAACTTGATAGCTGCTCAATGATTAGAACTCGACAACAACAACAACGATGACCGAAACAACAACAACAATGACAACAACAACAACGACGACGACGACAGCAACAACAACAACAGCAAAAATGCTTGTGAGGTCAGCTTTTTGTCTGCCAGGTATACATGCACTGATTGCGCTCGTAGGTGGAAGCGTCGGTATTTCTCATGATCATCAGAATAAAGCCAGAAATAAAGAAAAACCAAAGGATTGAACGTAGTCATTCAGAATTGTTCAGTTATCAAGGCGAGCTCTGGTCATGCTTGCAGATGCACACATGGTTTTATATAGGCTATCAATGGTAAGAACAATGATGACGACTACAATACCAGCAATTAAAATTGTGCCCGACGGCAACAGTACCGAAGAACACTGGCGAAACCGGCCCCTGAACGGCTCACCGTTCACTGCTGACGTAATCACCAACTCGGACGTTGTAACTCTCCGGCACGGAGTCTCCGTCGAGAGTCCACGTGACCTGCGGCAGTGGGTTCCCGGATGCTGCGCACGACAGTGACGCGCTGCTGCCCGGCGCCACCAGAAGTTCAGAGAACACATGATGCAACACTGGAGCGTCCTCTGTACAACACGTTTTGCAGAAGCAAAGCCATAAAACGAAGTTATTACAGTACTACATCATCATATTCAGGTTTTATGAAGGCAATGTTGTTATAACAGCGAATAGCCAACCATATAGACATCAATTACGATGATTTATCAGCCCTAGCGGTCATTTGTCTAGAATCGGCCAACACCATTCAGGCAGTATTAGCAGTCAGCTAGCTATCTAGCAATAGCGAATAGCCTACATATGATCAACATTCGACATTGCCTGTCAAGTGCAGGTAAGCACGAAACCCTCCACACAAAAAAACAGCTACACAATATTAATAATATGAACACTGCCACGCATATTTTACGTTAATAATAGTTTCATTAAAAGCTTGAATTTTTCGCCTTTATGCCACCAAAATCTACTTTTCAAAGAAGTTTAAACTCCTAAATTTTATAGAAACTGACGTTCGTACAACATGCTTTTGAAATGCCAGTTTACCTCCCATAGATTGTTGCACATTAAGGAGCCTTAATGAACAAGCAATATCACTGCGCTTGCGCTCTTCAGAGATGACGTTGGCACAGTCATCTAAGTTATCCAACAGTACATTGCCATCTCCCGCCTAAATTCTTCTACCAAGTTTAATGTTGCCACTCTTTAGAAAAAATGCGAACCAAGTCTGCTTATTCAAGGACGGGTGAAGGCGTGTAAAACTAGTGTGTCGCTCAGTTGCCTCAGCACACTGCGAACTATGCCGTTCATGTCGGAACTATTTCAATGCATAAAAAGATAAAGCGCCATCTTAGATGGGTATTCATGACCTGTTTCTGATATCTCGGCCTTCAGTTTATTTTCTCTACACCAGCGTCTTTAGAATGCGCTTGTGATTAATGGTGCTCAACAAATGCTGAGCACTATTTTATTTTGTGTGAGTCATTACACACGAGAAGTTTCTCAGACTACACAGAGCTTAACGTTTTTCTTTAAGTCATTCCCGATTTCACAACAAACTCTCGTTACGAGAAACAACGGCGAGCTCGTCACCCTAGTCGTTCTCGAAGTAAAATAAACTCATCAGCCTTAAATGAGCAAAACAAGCAAACTAAAACACACCCGGCGCTTCCTAAATAACACGATGGCTAATCTTGTTGCCTCGCCTCGCGTTTCCGTGCGAAGCTAATACCACGACCTACGCCGGGGCACACGCCGCAGAACTTGGCTCAAAACAAAGTGTGTCCGCCTCAAAGCTCCTAAATTCGATTAACCGCGGCTCTGCTGCTACGGGAGAACAAGAGGCGCTGCTCTCAGCGGTGAAAACGAGCGAGCTGGGGTGCCTGGCAGCCTGCTTCGCCAGACAGCGGGCCCTGTTTGCATCAATCGACGCGACCCGGTCGACTGGTCGTGCGCGAAACGCCTCAAGTACGGCACTGTTAGCTAAAACTGCAACTGCACCGCTACTCCAGTACCACGTGCCTGCTGGTCTTCGGACGAGTAGAGTGAGAGAAGGTGAAAAAAAAGGCGGAGATATGAACCAGATTACACCAGGTTTTCTACCCTGCACCGAAGTTCACGAGAGTGTGTAGACAAAAAACGAAAATGAAAAAGAGCGAGCGAGCGATGCGGGCGCACACAAGGTCGCTAATCGCAAAATGTATCGCAGACGGTCACAGAGCCGCGTTGTCTTGAGAAAGTCCAGCACCGCAACAGCAGTCGCTTCTGTGTGGTCTCAAGAGCGGCATTACATCGGCCCATTTTTGGTTGCTTATGTACAAGAACTCGGTGTAACTCCCCGAAACAAAAATTATCAGGGACCGTCAACTGCACAGCGGATCGAACCAGCTGCGCCTCCTCGGTTAACTAATGGTCACAGTTCGCTGAACGCTTCGAGGAGAGGCGAGGGGGGGGGGGGGGGAGCATCTAGACAAGCAACCTTTACAAGATTCTTCCAAGGCATCTAAGGTATCAGTACAGTCACAAAAGACATTTGGAACTCGCCAGTGATGCTAAGATAATACGAACGATATACGCTTGCCTTAACCATTTATTTCACATAAAGTGACTATAATGTTTATATTGAGTGAGCGTAATGAAACTTGCGGAAAATGAAAGCGACATTGATTGACATGGACTGATAGTTCAGGCAGTGGACGGGCATACCCGGGTGGCGATGTCATAGAAAGAAGCAGGAGATTTTTCATGCTTTTTTTTAATTTAAATACAAAAATATTGTAGTAGTTGCCATAAACTGGTGCAAGCTGCTGCCTTGCAAAAGGTCAACGATGGCATTGGCAAACGCCTTTTACGAAATCTGAATAGCACCGAGCCCGATAAATTAAGACAAATGCTCAGAGAAGACAACGCAAAAGAGGCACCATCGTGCGCAAAAAACACACAGACGTAAATGGGGTGTCTCTTCTTTCTAATTACCAATAAATCATTAAGTATAAGCTATATTCACACCAACTATATAACTGTGACTGCTGCCCATAGAACTGTCTCGTATCCTACGACAAGTCTCAACATTTTGGAGCCTGTCTCCGTCACTGCTCTGATAAATGAGCATATTGATCCAGGCTGATGACGAAATTTCCAGTTCTTTCAACAGCGATGTCTCCATTTTGTAACAGGCTTTTTAATTACCACAAAGACTGCAACTATTTCTTGGGCAGAACATTCATTCGATAAAGATTCTCTCGGCCACCAGAACCTTCAGAAACGCTTGTTCGGGTTTTTCGGTAGAGGAAATTCCCGAGCCCGCAAATACATGCTTTGATTTGAATAGTTCGAGACTTAACTCTTTCGAGTAATATGAAAACTTCCATGAAGAAGAATATCTGTAAGAAAGCACATATAGGAATCCACGGCAATTAGAAAAGCCCTCTATAGACTGCACGCGGTGAATAGCCTGTCGTGATATAAAGCTCGCTTCCAAAAAGCTTTCAGTTTCTAATAGGCACCAATGCTGATTTCAGTTCACTTGAGCGACGATTGTCGCTATCATTGAATTACGTGCGCTTCATAAGTTCGTTATACTACATTTCTAAAGATTAATGTTGTCGACATGATTGCAGTTAAAAATGACCACCCGTAATATTTTCAGAGCATATAAATAAACGCACTTTGTCAAGGTGAAACTAGGACTTCTACAAAGGTCGCAGTTTCTCCGCAAGGGTGGAAAAATGAATGTCATACCAACAAGTTGGAATGCTATACGAAGTAAGGGAAGCAGCTGACTACCTTAGTGGTGACCGAGCCGGCGCATGCAGGTCTATAAAGCGCTATCGGAAGAGGGCACGCACGCACCAAGGAGCGAATTGATTTTCGTGCTCATCGTGAAGTTTGCGGTGAAAGCACATCGGCTACAGGGGTATAGGAGCCGTCTACTGATGTCTGTCAAGATAGCATGAGCAATAGCGCTCTTTCGATTAAAGTTTGCACTTGCTGCGCAAGCAACACAGCCCCTCACCAGTACCTGTTCATCTTCCTTCGCCCAATGGCGACGGCCGGCGCGTATCATGTCTGCGAAAGCCGCGTACGTTTACAGTCCTCTCAAGATTTCGCTCACACGTGGAACATACGACGCGTTAGGCGATGTCATTGATTTGCACTTTGTTCGCAACATGATGGCGACGGGAAAGATATGTCTAGAGTGTACTTACAATTCAAGTATCAATAAAAAGAAATTAGGCATCAAGACATCAAACTTTGCTTCGACTCGCAACACCACCCTCTCACCTCGGACGATAATTTCCGCGCTTCCTTGAGCAGAATCGTCCCCGTTGAAGACGAGACACTGGTACATTCCGCTGTCCTGATGCTTCGCAGCGACAATTTGTAGCACGTCGCGGGAAAGGAGCCTCACCCTCGACGAGGAAGACTGCGTAAGCACACCGCCACCGATTCCTTCGCGGCCAGAAGATGCGGCAAAGAGAGGCCGGCCGTTGCGAGTCCACAGCACGCCGTGCACGGGCTGCCCGGTCACACGGCAGGTGACGTTTACGTTTCTGCCAGCGTCCACTACTTGCGCGGCCGACTCGATGCGAGCAGACAGCGGAGCTAGGGGGAGAGAAGGCGTGAGAAAGTAACGTCAGGGTATATACAGCATATATCGCCAGTCTTGCCCGGCCACGCCGTGTAGGTAGCAATTATTGATATCTTCGCGTGGATGTGACGGTCAGAGAGCGAGCAGTCAAACCGGTAAAAGTTTAATTACTAATATCCTCATCGCTTTAAAGTGCCTCACCTCCTTATCGTATTCATGAGGCCTTATAAGGTGCTTCATCGATGCGATATTAAGGCGATGAGTTGATAGCTCCACGGACGCCTCATCAAAAGGGAAAGGTGAGCGTCGGCGTCAACCCGAACGATGAAAAAAACATCACGTGATCGGAGAATATGGTCTGGTGGCGTCATCGTGATATCACTGTTACGTCACGACGATGACGCCCCACGATGATGACGCCATTGTGCGACAACATCGCATGGTCAAACGTGAGTCGATCTCGGAGGCAATGCTGCAAGACTATATCAGGTGCAAAATCCAGCGATGCCACCCATCGTGGAGGCCCCGCGAACCCTTGTTCGGTGTAGAAAAATAAAGTTGTTTCTCACTCTCTGTGTTCGGTGTAGAAAGGTTTCCTGCGAGAACGAGGATCAATACAATCGACTAAGAAGGAAAAAAAAAGGCTTTCACCTTTAAGCCGTTCTAGGTGAATGCATAAGAAATCCTGCGAGTTTTTTAACCGACTTGTGCTCAATAAAAACACATTAAAAGTACAAGTGAGCCGCAATCGTAGCGGAATGACAGCGGTGAGCATGGCCATCGGAAGTCGGCCATCAGATCATCGGTGAAACACGTCGGTTTTTCAGACATATGCGTCAACGAACATTCCGGCGTCATCAATGGAGCTCACATTAGTCGCACAATAAGGGCCACTGCTAGTGTCGGGCGTAAAATCTCATCGGAACGTAGGCAAACAATCAAGAAGGTTCCTGTGTGCACATTTTGGCATGGCCTGCATGCACCGAGTGATAGCATTAGCCAAGCTTCAGCAAATGACAGGTGGTGAAATGAGTCATGATGAAGACAAAGCAGGTATGGGTAACCTTAATGTCCAGATCCAAGCTTTCGGGACATTCTAATAATTGTGGCAGCAACGTAGCAGTGACGAAGGCTATTCGCAAATAATCCTGAGAGAACATTTCTGTGAAGAAAAAAAAAATGCCAGCAAATAATGCTAAATATAAAACAACTTTTTGAAGGTTTAACGTCTCAAAATTGCGATATGATTATGAGGACCACCGTATAGTGGAGGGTTCCAGAAATTCGGCCACCTAAGGTTCTTCAACGAGTGCCTAAATCTAATCAGACGGGTCTCGAGCATTTTCGTCTCCATCAAGGATGCGGCTGCCGCGGTCATGATTTAATCCCGAGGCCTGTGTCTCAGCAGTAAATGGCAGGCAAGTCATGCTAAAGCGAGCGAATGAAACATCTGGGATTCTGCGTCCCAGAAGCACGAAATAATTGTGACGGGTGCAGCAGTGGAGGGCTCCGGAAATTTTGACCATCTGATGTTTTTTTTTTAACGTGCAGTACACGGGCATCTATAGCAGCCGCCATCAGAATGCTACCGCCACGGCTGGTATCGAACCCGCGACCTTCGGGCCAGCAGCCTAGAAGCGTAACCACTGATCCACTGCAGCGGACTGCATGGAAATGTACATGTAATAATAGAGACAAGCATTGCTTGCAGAGACATGCGGCCCACATAGAGCTATAGTTTTTGCGTTTTTTACGTAAGAAATAACGTTGCACAGAGGTGATTCTGAATTGCTCAGTGCTTGCACTTTATTTTCAGTGGTGCGCGGATAGGGATTCTTAGAACCGGATAGAATACGAAGCGGCTAGTGATGACACCGAATGGAACACGAATACAAATCCAATACTATTCAAGTAGTTTCCGAATAGTATAAAGCAACTATTTCAGAGGGGCTCTAGAATTTCGTAGCATTTTATTTGCAACAAATACTCACTAAACTTTAACAAATGAACATTCCGATTACTTTAAATTTGCAACGACTACAACAATTATGTAAACTGAGGTAAGCTCGCACACATCAATGACTAGAGCATTCGGGATATTTTGTACGTATACATTAAATTCAGAGGTGACTATATACAGTAATATGTCACTCTTTTTCACCAGCCTCTAAACAAAACTGCGGTGTAAAAATGAGGCAATTTCGACACGAGGACAGCACATTCACTGAGCCTTATAATGAAACAGGTAGCACGTTAAAGAACCCCCGGTGGTCTAAATTTCCGGAGCCCTCCACTACGGCGTCTCTCATAATCATATAGTGGTTTTGGGACGTTAAACCCCACATATCAATCAATCAATTATGAAACAGGTAGACCTTTCATCGCATGATGGGCCTCAGTATCAACATAACACGCGCGTCATTTGCTTGCCATGAAGGCGCGTACGTAAATTCCACATATGTACCCGTATTCAATTGTAATGCCCTCGGTTCCACGACCAGGTGCTGATAGCGGATCCGTGACACGTTCTCTTCGGCGACAAGCCAGTTTTATGCAATAACGCCTTTATGCGGTTATCGCTACAGCGTATATATACTCATAAAAGCTGGGCCGCATGCATATGGGTAACTCAATTTTTTAAAAAGTAGAATGATCCCTTGCTGTCTGAACATTTCGTCTCTCGGATTTTTCTCTCCACGCTGATTATTCAAAAAAAATAATTGCAAAATATTTGGTATTAGGAATATACGCATTTCAAGTCAAATAGAATACATTTCAATTCATCATTAAAAAACTTTCCCATTAGTTTTCTATTACGAAAAAAAATGCCTCGCCGCGGTGTTCTAGTGGCTAAGGTACTCGGCTGCTGACCCGCAGGTCGCGGGATCGAATCCCGGCTGCGGCGGCTGCATTTCCGATGGAAGCGGAAATGTTGTAGGCCCGTGTGCTCAGATTTGGGTGCACGTTAAAGAACCCCAGGTGGTCGAAATTTCCGGAGCCCTCCACTACAGCGTATCTTATAATCATATGGTGGTTTTGAGACGTTAAACCTCACATATCAATCAATCTATTACGGAAAAATGCATTTGTCATAGTTATCAGTTATTTTTGCTATAATGAAAGAAAACGAAATAATATGTATTGCTGTGACGGTATATAGCACGGACATGGTTCTCGCCTGATGATGCGCAGATGCTACAAAACATAACCCAGCCCATGATTTTGCTTGGCCGGACGGCGCTATTGAACCGTCAACCAGAACACCACATTGTCCTTGGATAAAAAAAACATTTTCACGCAGAAACCTTCGAAAGAGAGTCATTCAGACAGTACTAAAGCTCGTGATACAATCGGCGAAGCAGGCTGACCGATCGAGATGACCACTTGCTAAAGACAACGGGCGAATTCGGACCCCGATTCTTACCGGATACGAGCACTTCCGTGAACACCTTTTCCTGCCCGGCCGAGCTATTGGTAACGCAGATGTACTTCCCGCCATCTTTGACACTGACTGAGCGTATCACCAGTATCGAACCACCGAAGCGGAGCAGCGTTCTGTCCGATGACCTCACGGGAATGACGTCATCTCCGAGGCCCAAAACCGCAGTCGGCCCCTTTTGCGTGCGGTCGGTCACACGAAACCACGAGGGAGCAGGGGGCGGATGGCCCTGTGCAACGCACGGCAGCACCGCTTCTTGCCCTTGCGCCACTTGCACCAACCTGCGGGTCTCCGTCATGCGAGGTGCAAGATCGCTCACGGGCTCTGCGAAAAGAACAATGAAATGTAACTGAATGAAGAAATATACATGTACATGAATGAAGAAATAGAATGAGATATGGAACACGGGTCAAGCGCACCCATGGTGGTGCTAGCCAAGCCTACAATCAGTCACATGATTGAAGAACGTTGGCGACACGCTGATAATTTTTTGTGCCAGCAAAACACGCGACAACAGTCCGATACCTCAGGTCACTTTCTTCACAAAACTACTTTTCGGTTCGTTAGCAGTTTGAGCTCCCGGATTTGAGGCTGTTAACGAATCGTGTTGGTAATAAGATCTTACAGAAAGGAGCACTGTCTTCCTAAAAGGAGCAGCGGCTAGCAAATTCGCGTCTCATGCGAAAATGAAGTCTAACTTTTCTAGCGGAGCCTCCCGTCCAGCCCAGTCTCTTCCTCTTTGAACCAAAAATAATGTTCGCACTCACTGACTCTTCTGTACTTCATCATCCTAACAGTAATAGAATGGAGTTCGTGTTCCATAGATCTAAAGTGATTTATGAGATCAGTGTCGTGAATTGTGTTTAACCCTTATATACGAGTTATCCGTACGTTTTTTTTAATACCTCTTCTTTGGACTGTCAGTGTAATGTCATCATGTCTTTCTATTTCCCGTTTAGGTTCCCTTTAATTGGTTTGGTTCCTTGTCACCTTTCTCTTTTTTTTTTCATTTTTGTACACATTCACTCTATCTCAATCTGAGCAGTCGGTGCTGCTTAAAGAACAACACATCTTTTAAGTATGGCACACTTAAAGTGCAAAAACAAGAAAACACCACAGACAAAAAAAGTATCACGGGTGCAGCAGTGTCTCCCCAGTGGTCTATTCTCCAAAAGAAGTATTTCCCGGTGACTGTTCTTCGTGGTTTTACACTTTATTGCAGACGATATAAACAAAATTGTACACTAGATAACAAGTTGCGCTCAAAATTGCACTTAAGCCAGTAGGCTTACTTTTCTGAATAAAAAAAACAGATGACGGAGGAATTTTATTGGTAGCACTTTTCGTTCTCTGCTCAATTACCTCTCGAACATCGAGGAACGGGGTTTCCGAAACGACCCAACGTACTTTATTCTACGTCTCTTCACCTTATACTCTTTGAACTAAGCCCTGAATCAGCGAACGGTAAATGGCCCCGAACGACTTCGTTCAGCTAGATTTTCTTCGTTTCTTTCAAGGTACGCTCGTCTGGAAGCCCTGCGAATCACAGAACCACTCTTTTTATGGCTGATGCTCTCCAAGGCATCTATTTAAAGCAGCCACTCAAATCGGCTCAACCAGCGCAGGCCACATCGAACGCTGGTCTGTGGCTGATTGGCTCGACCCTTCCGAAGACGGAGAGGCGATGGTGGCACTTCACGTGTAAAGAGACTCGAAACTGTTACGTTCGTTGTATGTTGATTAAAAGGACACTCCGGAATGGATGGATGTGTCTTTGAAATTCACTACAATGAAACCGAGGCTGCTTCCCAAACTATGACAGTCTGGCACTTTGACATGACCTGGACGACTCGGTAAGGATCCTTTGCGTGCTTCCTAATTGCGAATTTCCTACAAAAGCATTTTTCGAAGTGTAGGTATGTATCTTGGCGAGGTGACTTTAACCTCCGTGCTTCTCCTCCATCTCTTTCTTTCTCTCTCAAACCCTCACACTGTTTTTTTTTGTGTGTGTGTGAGAGAGATTCCTAAGCAAGCAAATGATTAATGTACTACCAGCATATGGAAGTTTAAGGGAAGCATTTTCTGTTTTAATGAAGCAGACAGTTCCGTGGCTTCGAGGCACCCAATGACCCAGCGACACCAGGCCTCGGAAATTCGTTACGTCCTCCTTTTCCCATTGCCCCTGCCCCTTTCTTTCAAAAGTAGGGCCTCAAAGAAACCTTTATTCTATCTATCTATCTATCTATCTATCTATCTATCTATCTATCTATCTATCTATCTATCCAGACTCTTACGTGGCCCTCAAGTCGCTACTGCAATGTCTCAGGAACAGGCAAAAAACATGTTTTGCGTTCCTGAAGGTAACGATAGGTCTCGCAACGTGAGAGGTTATGTATTTTGTCACTGGATGTGCGGGGTGCACTGCTGCTTGTTTATTTCTTCGAAATACAAAAGCCAGAAAGCGCGATGGTGGCATTAAGCAACCTTTCCCGTTCACTCTCTTCTTTTATTTTGCTTGATTGTGAGTAGTGCCGCCAGAACGCAAAGGCTTCGCGGAAAGTGCAGCACAGTCGCAGCGAAAGTTGGAGAAGCCGCGAACTTCCAAAACCGGCTGTAAACACTCTTGAAGCTAGAAGTACAAGTACCCATTACGCCATAACTTAAGAGCTTTTGTGAAGTTGGGAAGCCCTCACTACGCCATTATTGATCATTCCGCGGAGAAACGACACAACCCCTACGCTTTTGCAAGACATTAAGTGCCTCATGATAAGGAAGCGCCACAGGAACACGGGGACAAAGTTGCGAATACACACAGGACATGCGCTTTCTAACAACTCTTTTTGTTTGTTCAAACACAAATATGACGACGTAAGTCATCCTTCAGTTGCCTTGTCAAGCAAAGAGATATTCCTACTTTCTGCAATTCTGTGTTTGTTTCTTCGAGTGGTATCGCTATGTGCGCTGATGTGGTACCAGAAGTGCTTTGCGCATGGGCTGTATATTCTCTACTTCGTCAGCGTGTTTTTTTTTTCGCGCTTCCTAAACATGAACCAATTCCAACTATGTCAAATATTCAAATGGCTATATATAGCACACCCCAACAAGAACACAAAAGAGAGAGAGAGAGAGACACACAGCAGTACGGCAGCGTGCCTTAGCAAGCGTGTAAAATAGCAATGTTGCGACATTTTGTGCATTTTGTTGATGAGGGGGCTGATACAATGAAAAATTTTGTCTGAGCCCTTTTTAATGGCTTAGAAGCATTCAACGACCCGCACATTATGTAATTCGTATTGTGAGATGTCTGGTTGTTATTTTTCTCTTCTGCAACGCTATATTACACGTGTTAAAAAGGCTCCTTTCCGACATGACGCCTCTATAGGTATTTGCGCAAAAGGTTTCGAGCACCGGCATGGCTCTGTGCAATAAAGCAAGAAAATAACTCACATGACTGTAGTAGAATACTGGGTTTGAACCCCCTTTCATCGTGGATAGTTTTTGCTTATATCCTTGCTTTTGTTGTTTTTGTTGCTGTTGTTTCGCGCGATAGCAGTTAAGGGTACCAGTAGAGGCGGACAACACCAATGATGGCCCTTGCTGTGATCGAATAACAATTTTCACTGCAAAAATTTACCAACCTTGAATTCGAGAGGTGTTATTTATAACTTCGCAATATGCAACGGTAATGTAGGATTAAAAAAAAAGGACACAGCACGAAGTAGGAACAAGAAAAGAGAGTAACACAGCTGCACCTGTAAGCCTGTATTGTCGTCCTCTTCTCTTGTACCTATTCCGTACTGCTCCTCACGTTTTGTACTTTTGAATCAATAACGTACCAATAATACATAGCCTAAATGGCTGTTTTGCTTGCGACGCACTACGTAAAACATTTTGTTTTATTTTAACACAATTCGTGCTATAAAACACTCAAATACAGTATTTCCATAAACTATATGTATAGCCGTGGTATAAAAGCCAGGCGATGACTTACAGCAAATAGGTTCATTGGGAGGGATTATTTACTTTAACTCAATTGATTAAGACGAAGCAACGGCTACCGTCTTTCGGGTGGAAGGGCCGTAAGAAATAAATACTGCCGTAAGAACTTGAGTATCTTACAACTTCGTGCGCACAAACACACATAAAGGTGACAAGTAGAGAACGAAGCCAGATCACAAGAAAGCTTTTCTGCGCTAATGCAGTGCTCCAGTTTTAAGCAAACCAACGCAGAGAAAAATAGTGGTCACTGATTAAACACAAAAAAATGTGGCCGAAAGATAGTCCACAAATACCCTTATGTTATTTCAGATACCATAAAGGAAATAACTGCCCCTTTGTAAATACTTTCGACATTGCAGGAGAGAAGTGGAGTGTCTGCGCAGCAAAAGTAGTAAACTTTGGAAGATTTAGTTTCCTCGCAGAGACAAACAAGGCTTATGATGACTATATAGTCCGTTTGAAAAAGCGGGCCAAAGGTCACAAGGAGAAAACTTTACCATCGAAGAAATTGAGCCGTAAGCCATCTTAAGAGGCTTGGCCTTCTTTCTGAACGTAGTCCCCGGAAAATTGATGGAAAGCATCAATTTGGGCAGTTTCTTTATAAGAACGAAAACACATGCAGGACACAAAATGCGATGACCTCACGGATTGGAACTCTGGGAAAAGTTCTCGCTATTCCAGCGGGAATCTGAGGAACACAGCCCATAAAAGCCAGCAGCACGCCCATTTTGATGCTGGAATCATCCCATTGACGCGTTTTCCGGCATTTGATTGAATGCTTGTATTACAAACATTGCTGGCAGATGCAATGGACTCTTAGAAAGAGTGGTCCGTCCGTCTGTCTATCTATCCATCCGTCCGTTCGTCCATCCATCCGTTCATCCATCTGTCCGTCCGTCCGCCCATTCGTCCGTCCGTTCGTCCATAGGTCTATCCGTCCGTCCATACGTCTATGCGTCCGTCCGTCCGTCCGTCCGTCTGTCCGTCTGTCCGCCTGCCTGTCTGTCTGTCTGTCTGTCCAAAATAACACCAGCGTCCCTTGCGCATGTCCATTCTATTGAAAAAATGAAGCTTACTACTCGTCAGCGCATGTGCAAAACTTTCTGCGTCTTGTCATATCTTTATGCGTGCCCGCATTGAGTTCCAAAGATAAATTCGTTTTCGAAGCTCCGACGCCCGTGCCGGAGTGGAGTCTGGGAGACTCAGCGCCTATTCAAAGTTTTCGTAGGTAGCGACTTTCTTTTCAACATGATCGCTGTGATGCTGTCAACCCCACGAACGCGTAGAATGCACCTTAAAAAAAGAGAAGCCTCACGCTATTTCAA